ATATATATATATATATATATATATATATTAATTTGCAAACAAAATGAAAGAAAACTACTAATGTAAGTAAAACCAAGTAAGTTTCCTTAAGTTGTGAAATTCTTCTAAGTTAAAACCAATCTTGTTGAAGGCAATTCTAGCTTCAATAAGTCTGTGCTTTATTAAGATAATTAGAATTAATGCTGTTGAAAAAGGAAAAACTTATCAAGCACACCAAAATATAACAAACTGTTAATCATAGCTATATTAGTAACAAAGTTTAATATATAAGGAGGTTATCCTAACCATATAGAGAATAACGTTATTAACAAGAGCTGTCAATTTGAAGTGATAGATGGTCCAATTCCACAAAGTCAGAATTTTTTTATTTTACATAATGGACCAACTCTGAAAAAAAATTACTATTTGCACCCAGTTATTATAAGTTATTTTTTATGTGATGAAACTTAAACAGAATAACAATAAGTCAATAAGTTGTTTGATCAATTAATGATATTAGCTGACAATAATATCTTATCAAAATCAAGTTCAGCCCTTTAAATCAAAAATATTAATAGATAACAATTAACACATATAAGTCAAATACAGTCAAACAGAGAGAGAGTCAATATTTAAAATGATTTTGTTGATGTCAGTCAAATCTAAGCGGATGAAAGACAAACTACATAAAGCTATCAATCTTACCTCTAAAGAAGTCATATAATGTACTAGCACATTCTAATCAGGGGTGAAAAAAAAAAAGACCTTTGCTACTGAATGAACAGATTTTTTTATAAAACGGTTATTACCTAATTTCTCCTGAAATGGGTGTTATTTTATTGAAAAAATGAAACTCTCTTTCATAGAAAGCTATCAATCTTACCTCTAAAGAAGTCATATAATATACTAGCACATTCTAATCAGGGGTGAAAAAAAAAAGACCTTTGCTACTGAATGAACAGATTTTTTTATAAAACAGTTATTACCTAATTTCTCCTGAAATGGATGTTATTTTATTGAAAAAATCAAACTCTCTTTCATAAAACTGTTTGGCAGAACCACTAAGTGAGCTAGTAATGCTGGTAATTAGATGCTCCAGGGGCTCATAGATTTCTGTAAAATAAAGACACTACATTAAATTGTCAATGTCACTAAGATGATTTTATATTTTAAATATCAAAGGAATTAAACTTATTATTAAGTGAATGTTGGTTTCTGAGTTTACTGCTTATCGTACAAAACATTAATGACAGCTTAGGACATGACAGAGCAACAGTTAATCAAATATAAATCTCACCATCTTGTTCTTGACAGTCCTCATCAACAAACATGTTGGTTTTCATGTTCCATATCAGTTGGTGGGCCAAAAGTTGGGAACGACTACTAGCAGTTTTTATAAACTCTGTCACGTAACCCATCTGTCAATGTATAAAGAACCAGTTTAACAAGTGTCAAAGTTAATTTTCATAAAATAAAATTTAAAAATGTAGCATATTACATTTAAACTAAAGGCAAAAGAATAGTGTGTAATGATGTAGTTCTCATTATTTGTATATAATTACTAATTCACAGTAATATCAGAGATTTAGACAACTGTACAAGACTAATACTGTGCATGCTAAATGTTAAAATGACCCACACAAAGAGAACATCGTATTAACAGCATCAATAATTTTAAACATATAACAGGAGATGCGAGTTGAGAACAGGAAAGTTGGATATTATGTTAACAGTCTGAAGTATACACTAATATACACTCTTAGATTACAGGACCAAAATGTTTATGTTGTGGAATTTCATGCAAAGCTACTCAAAGGTTATCTATATTAGCAATCCCCAATTTAGAAGTGATAGAATAGAGGGAAGGCAACAAGTCAATACAACCCACTGCTAACTATGGAGCTACTCTTTACCAATGAATAATGGGACTGACTGTCACATTATAATGCTCCCCCGGGTGAAAGTGCAAGCACATTAGATGATGGGATTCGATTCCAAGACCTGCAGATTGTGAGTCGAATGCCCTAACCACCAGGCCATGCCAGACCCCCCAGGATTAAAATGATAATTCATATAATTAGGAAATAAAGTATATTTACTTACTGAATCATATCGTATTGCCTGTACTAACTGAGGAATGTAAAACAAGATGACATCCTAAAAAAAATAATAAATTCATATTAGTTATATGATTTAATCAACATTTTTAATACAATGTTCAATATTTCTCTGCAACCACATTAACTCACACTTCTGAAGTCAGATAATAACTTGATTATAAATTCTGATAAGGAATAAAGTGAGTTTGAACATGTATCTACTTTCTTTAACTGTTGACATAGTTATTTGTATGATACTTTTGCTACAAATTAGTATTTTTGATGTTAAAACTGCTGCTGTATCAATGCTATGCAAATCAACACATTCTCTACATAATTTGAGGCTATCTAGTAAAATCTGTTTTTTTTTCTTCTTTAATCTTAATCCCATGCTTTGAACAAGTACTAATTTCAGACTTTATAAAACATTACGTTTTAGGTATACAAACTATCTAATAATTCTGGGCTTTTTTGAGGAGTGAAATCCATTTTCATAAATTTACTTAGAACTTTATAAACTTGAAGAGTTGGGAATGATTTTCTTGTCATTTATTTTGGCAACATCAAAGGCAGAATTTATGACACAAATTTATTACACAAAATGTTGAGTCTATCTGTAACCATTCATACTTTAAAAGCTTATTACAGTCTCTTCCTAAATCGCAGGTGATAATAAAAAAAGTTGAGTGTTAAAAATTAGTATGTTCTCTAAAAAAGCATTACATATGTTTTTAAACATTCATCACAACTTTTATATTTCTACATTGAGCCTTTTCCATTTAATTTTTCCAAGATTAATGATAAAATAAATAAATGTATATTAAACACCAGTACTCATAAAGTTACTTCTAAATACTTCATCTAGTTATGATTTCCGAGTTAAAAAAAACGTCTAAAATTATGAATAGCATTATATTTATTACAATTTTGTACGATACTAATAATAACGGTTGAAATATCTCATTTAGGCTCAATATTGAAAATGATTTTAACACGAAGAAATACAAAAATCATACTCATACGTGAAATTTAAATAGACAACGGTGATTCAAATGTATACCCTTGAGACAGAAATATGTATCAGAAGCTTCTTTCAAGTTTACATACTATTTCATAGAAATTCATGTACTTACGGGGGAAAACGAGGCCAATGACCGCACAGCATATTGTGCCGTGATTGGATGTGGAGGAAACTGTCTGGAGAAGTATGCAAGAGCTTTTACCGGAGACACTCGTGCCCAGGTTAGCATCTGGGTCAGCTAAAAAAAGATCAGATATAGAAATGTTTTTTTACACAATAAAAGTTAGACGAAGAAATACAATTTGTTATATGTACAGCACAAAATATATCTGACACTAGAATAGAAATATGAAAACTATTGACATTTATCTTGCTCTCTAACTAGGCTGTAAAAGGTTTAAAAAATTCCATAAAATATTATAAATTGTTATTGTAAGACATCGAAAGCACTATCCTGCTGTCCTAAAGATATCAACAGACATTACAATGCTACTCTTGAAAGAAAAAAATTGTGAAATATCAGAAAATTCTCATAATTCTCCGCACCTTAATATTTACTTTCTATTTTTTAAGAAAGTATTTCTGTTGTATAGTGTATGTTATGAAAAAACAACATTTCGATTAGCTAGTGACACTTAATGCCAATGGTGTTTTCATAAAAGTATGTTTAAGTGTCAATGGTTTAAGTTTAAGGTTTAAAAACTTGAAGTAACTATTTCCTATCTTACTGCCTACTGAAATAGCATGTCCATAAGAACATGTAATTTAAATTTTTTACAAACAGGCTGCATAAATTACCAGTTTGCAAGAGAAAATGTACAATATTTGTCAAGAAAACACACAGATATACAGATACTCTAAAGCCAAGAAAGAAAGAATTAACATATTAACAACTAACTTTAAACCTTCTTCATAGAGAATGAATGTACAAAAACTAATGTCTGAATTCAAAAGATAGTTTCTTATATTTAAAAAAAATTACTCCTGCAGAAAACAGCTAAGTTAGATAGACAAAACAAGTATGAAATATCATATTGTGGCACTCAAAAACAAAGGATAACAAGTAATAAATGTAATGTGTATCAGTAAATATAATGAACATCAAGTAAGAGTGACGTGTATTAGTAAATATAATGAACGCAGAGTAAGAGTGACGTGTATTAGTAAATATAATGAACGCAGAGTAAGAGTGACGTGTATTAGTAAATATAATGAACACCGAGTAAGAGTGATGTGTATTAGTAAATATAATGAACACCGAGTAAGAGTGACGTGTATTAGTAAATATAATGAACACCGAGTAAGAGTGACGTGTATTAGTAAATATAATGAATGCCAAGTAAGAGTGACGTGTATTAGTAAATATAATGAACACCGAGTAAGA